CGCTCGGCATTAAGGAGCTAAAACAAGGACTGGTCGGCTCGGAGTCAGTATACTGTGTCTGAGTGGGGTATTCATGCTAAACTGCGGCATGGTATCTCAGTGAGCTAGCACTATAAATCGGCATCAGTCCGGACTAGTACAAGCAGCCACACACACACACACACACACACACACACACACATACACACACACACGTACATGCGTGTCGTTATATAAGTGCAATAATCTTGGACGCAATGTTAAACCCCATTTCACCTCACCTGCATACTCACAGGGTGCTGAGAATGATTCTTGACTGCACACTGATCCAATCACCGGGGTATTAATAGCGCTTTGAGCATGCTCCTGCGTGGTGTGGAAACATTCGCAATATAAATGTCCTATTATGACAAATAATTAATTAACGTGGGTAATAAAGAAAATCTCACACTCATTTCGTGTTTACGAAACTCGCGAACCTTCGGTCGGATACCACAGAAAGTCTTACCCTCTTTTCGGAAAAATGGTAACTAACGAGAATGAATGTAGTTTTCTCTTTATATCAGACACTGGTTTGTAAACATATAAGACTTGCACCCCTTCAAGCTGTAGCTCCCACATTAGGCTGACACGCTATGATATAACTGAACTACCGTGTGTTCAGTCTTATCCCAGGTCTATAAGTAGTTGTGTAATGATACTATCAGTTTGACCTCCAGCTGTCTGTGTTGCTACTGTAATGTCACTGTTTAACGCTGACAGAATTCCAATAGAAGCGACTAATGCACGAACCTAACTCACAAAGGTTATTGTTCTGAAAGCAACGTCAGTGAGTGAAACAGTGACATCCGTCTGTTGTGCAAACAAGGACAATCTCGAGGCTGATAAGAGTATGTGTGTACAGTCCAAATATTCGTGAAGATCCGGGGTAGAATAGGTCTTCAGAAACCCACGCTTGCCGTAAAAGGCGACTATGCTTGTCGTAAGAGGCGACTAACGGGTTGATGCATGTAATAGATCCCAATTGCGTGCATCGATGCTCATGATATCAATCACTGGATTGTCTGGTCCAGACTCGATTATTTACAGACCGCCGTCATAAAGCTGGAATATTGCTGGGTGAAACTTGTCACAGTATTGCATAACAACTATCTGCCATCAGCTTTTTTCGACTAATATTGCATTCGCATTACACATACATCAGGATAACCATCACAGTGAGCAGGCAATGTATTTGATTGAACCTGTCTACCCTTTTATGGATTGAATGATCCAATCGTGTTTAACTTATGCACGTAATGCATTCTACACTACACTGTATGTGTGAGGTTCTGAATGGATGATGGGGTTCTAAGAGTACTAAACGAGTATGCACGTTTGAGATAATGCTGATGTAAGTATATGAAACGTACATCAATGTCCTCGTTTGTTTCTTTTTTCTTAACATGTTACAGTATGTAGATAATGTAGGGAAGCAAACTTAGGCTTCATATATTAGATTTATATCTATTTTCTTATAGTTGTTGAAGGTTTGTGCCATTGATATCTTTTATCAGAATTGGATATCTATTGGAAATAACAGTTAAATATATAACCTTTATATAGTTCGTTGATTGGTTGGTTTGTTTTCCATCTATATGACGGCGGTCTGGAAATAATCGAGTCTGGACCAGACAATCCAGTGATTGATATCATGAACATCGTCACACGCAGTTGGAATCGATGAAATGCTTCAACCAAGTCAGCGAACCTGACGACAAGCATAGTCGCCTTTTACAGCAAGCATGGGTTGCTGAATACCTTTATAGGGAATACAACAGTTTGTTATTACCAGAAAAGCATATTTATGCAATTGAGGAATTAAGGCGTCTAAATATATTAGAAAAGTTTAGAGGATGGCTATTGCAGTTGAGAAATAAAATCGACACATACATGAGAAACTGCCTTTATGTGATAAGGGTATAGAAGATGAATATCTTTTTTAACTTGTATGTGCACCTTTTGATGCTGTTAGAAGAAAATATATACACAAACATGTATCACTAATGTAAATATTCATACATTTAAAAATATAATTGCTACAGAACAAATAAAATCACTATTCCTGTTCATATATCTTGTGTATAAAAGTGAGTGAGTGAGTTGGGTTTAACGCCACTTTTAACATTATTCCAGTTATATCACGGCGTGTCAGCTTAATGTTGGAGGAAAGCCCAAAGTGATGCAGGTATCAGACGTTTACCACTTTGGTGATGTGTATAAAAGACGAAAATATCTGTTAAACAATGCTTAAAATAATGTACATTGCTAGTACTTGTAAATTGTTATTTGTATATGGGCCTATGACCTTCATTATGAATATAGTATTGATTGATGGCTCGAACAGATGTATGGACAACTTCAGTGTTATAACCTGTCAAAGGGGAGGCTATGTTTCTGCTGTATACTACTGTCACATGTATATACCACACACTGTTATCTGTCGTGACTACGAAGGTGTCTCGCAGAAAGAGCTTGTATAAAAAAACAAGTTAGACGGGTATTTAAGGCCGATCGTATATGTTTACACAATGATTGCGTATTGAAACTTGAGGGAACAGTGTGGGCAGTGGATAACACTACATATAGTTCACATACTGAGGTAATCCACAGGACTACATATAGTTCACATACTGAGGTAAGACACAGGACTACATATAGTTCACATACTGAGGTAAGACACAGGACTACATATAGTTCACACACTGAGGTAAGACACAGGACTACATATAGTTCACATACTGAGGTAAGACACAGGACTACATATATTTCACTTACTGAGGTTAGACACAGGACTACATATAGTTCACATACTGAGGTAAGACACAGGACTACATATAGTTCACATACTGAGGTAGGAAAGAGGAATACATATAGTTCACATACTGAGGTAAGACACAGGACTACATATAGTTCACATACTGAGGTTAGACACAGGACTACATATAGTTCACATACTGAGGTAAGACACAGGACTACATATAGTTCACATACTGAGGTAAGACACAGGACTACATATAGTTCACACACTGAGGTAAGACACAGGACTACATATAGTTCACACACTGAGGTAAGACACAGGACTACATATAGTTCACGTACTGAGGTAAGACACAGGACTACATATAGTTCACATACTGAGGTAAGACACAGGACTATACACATAGTTCACATACTATACGACACATGATTCCTCGTAGTGCTTCTCCCATCCGCTATCAAGTGTGAATCGTTTAAGAAGGAAAGAGACCTGAACTGCCCTGACGTGTATGGTCGCTTTACATACTGCTCACGATTTTGATACAATAGTTTGGTTGATTTTACTAGCGATGAGGTAGTTTTAAACCATTTAGCAATACACGTGCCATTGTTTGTTGAAAGTAAACTGATGGCCAAAAGAAACGTTACCAACATTAACTGATTTGCCACTTTGAATCAAAGATGCCAATCTGTTCAAAAACAGTAAAGAACACATCTCACGAATACAGCCTTCATGTTCCCTGTTGTTCATTGCACGTGCTTTGCGGATTTTGGGAGATATTGGTGTTTTTCAGCAATTTTTTAAAACATTCTTTCCAAAATTATCGTTAAATTTCCGGGTATAAATTACGCACGGATCTGTTCCCTATCATTGGTTGCGATGATTAACACCAGCGAACATGCCAAGACTGACCGCTGTCCAGAGGGAGAGAGACATAGGTATGCTGCAGATGGGAGCGACACAGAGAGCGGTTGCCATTAACATGAACTGCTCCAAGATGACCATTACCAGACTGGTCGCACGTCTCCGACAGACTGGCAGAACCGCAGACAGACCCCGCAGAACTACCGCTTTTTACGGGTTCTTCATCTGAGGAATATATTTCTTACTGTGACGTCATCAGCTGCCATCAGCTTAGGACATCCGGTCAGCAAACAAACAGTGACCAGACGACTACGACATTATGGTCTCCGGGCTTATCGCCCTTTCAAGGGCATGACCTTGACCCGTCAACATAGACGTGCCAGATTGACGTGGTGCAGGCAAACTCAGCGATGGCAACAAAGGGAATGGCGGCGAGTGCTGTTTAGTGACGAGAACAGGTTCAAACTCTTCAAACCTGATGGGCGGACGCGAGTTTATCGACGACGTGGTGAACGTATGGCTCCTTGTTGTGTCCAGGAGGTGAAACTTAGGGGGGCGGAAGTGTGGTGGTCTGGGGCGGCATTTGCGGGGACGAGAAGACGGAACTTGTCAGCATCGAAGGCAATCTGACAGCACAACGCTACATTGACAATATCTTACGGCCAGTGGTTCTTCCTTTCATCCAGCGTCAACAACGGAAGGGGGTTCCAACAAAATAACGCCACTCCCCATAAATCCCGTATTACTAGAGACTTCCTCAACGCCAACAACGTGACTGTCCTGCCGTGGCCAGCTCGATCACCAGATCTGTCACCCATAGAACATCTCTGGGACCAGCCGGGGCGTCGTCTTCGTAAACGTCAACATCCTCCCTTCACGAGACAAGCGTTGATCGTTGCCCTCCGTGAGGAATGGAATCGGATACCTTCAGTCGATGTGAGGACGCTTGTCTACTCAGTTCGACGCCGCATTTGAAGATGCATTGCCGCTCATGGAGGTCATATCTGTATTGAACGGTCTGGGCCGTCGTCACCTTAAAGTTGTAACCAATGTTGTTGATCGAATACTGGCTGAATGACCCCTTGTCAAGAAATGTCCCTGTTGGAGGTCAAGGAATTAGTAAATTCGCATTTTACTGTTCTGAATGATGAATTTCTACAATACAATTGTTATTGCTGCTTCAAATTGTGTTGGTCATATTTTATCCTAGAAATATCGTTGGTAACGTTTCTTTTGGCCGTCAGTTTAGAAGAGGGACTTATATTTGTGGATTCTTGAGTTCAGCCCACGACATCAGAACTAGTGTATAGCGGATATTAGGAAGTAGAAGAGATACACTGGGACGTGAGGAGCAGTATTTTGTTTACACAAGGGTTGCCAATTGAAACTTGTGAACACACAAGCTATTGTGGATAAAACTACATGTAGTTCATATGCTGAGTTACGGCACAGGATTCCTTTCCACAAAGTGCTTGTCCCACCGCTGTCAAGTGTAAATCGTGTACGAAGGATAGAGCTTTAACAGTTGACTGGGAGAGGACTAGGGTATATGGACGTTTCATACCCAGGTCATGCTGTTGATGCAATGCAATAATATTGGTGATCATATATTGATATCAAGTATGAAGCCACACTCAAGTCATGCTTTGTTGTGAGTAGAAGAGTGTTATAAGTGCTGCTTACGACCTCCTGTTTCCTTCTAGGTGTGAGAAGTGGATATTTCAGTTCCGTCTAGGACGTCACAAGTTGTGTAGGAAGGACATACACTGTGCCGTGTAACGCTACAATGAAGACCTGCTGGAATATACTGATATGGATGTGGATGGGTGTTATCCACAGAGCGGAGCATGTCAATGGCAAGTATGAATGTGCATATTAGTGAGAGCTCTGACTTCCCACAAAATATAGACGGTGCTACAACCAGGATGCTCATATTGTAAGAAGTGTGAGGTGAGGTGAAATGGGGTTTAACGTCGCGTCCAAGATTATTGCACTTATATAGCGACGTGCATGTACGTGTGTGTGTTTGTGTGGCTGCTTGTACTAGTCCGAACTGATGCCGATTTATAGTGCTAGCTCACTGAGATACCATGCCGCAGTTGAACATGAATACCCCACTCAGACACAGTATACTGACTCCGAGCCGACCAGTCCTTGTTTTAGCCCCTTAATGCCGAGCACCAGACAGGGTAACAACAAATACCATCTTTTAACTTCTTTTGGTATGACGCGGCGCAGTCCTGTGCCATTCTACCACTAGACCACGGAGGCGGTCTATTGTAAGAAGTATTCAGATACGACACTATTGTTCTGTATTATCGGAAATTTCTGGCCCATCTTTCCCCTGGGTCATTAACATAACACCATAACAGGCTTATCATTTGTCACATTGATTTAATTAAATATATTGATATGATGATATGTTATAGGGTATTCATTGTTAGATTTTGGAATGGTAGCATACAAGGAAAGTCTACATTAACATTGACTATTAATGTGCATAGTAAAAGGATTGCCGACCCGCAAATAAGACATATTTTACCAACCTGGATTCTTATTACAAAAAAAACAACAAATATTCCGTATTAAATAAAATTAGTTAATGAAAAACCCGTATATGAAACTTTAATTAAGTTTATTTTGCTTCTGCAGGTGATTTTTTACTGACGAGCTCACCATTAATACCAACCGATGGAGACCTCTTCACCTTGACCTGTAGCTTCCGTGATGAATTTACAGTAAACATTGGATGGCTGCAGAACAACAAACCTAAGGTCGTTACTCAAAGGGTCACTAATTGTATTAAGAGCTCACTCGCTTATGGGCAGGACACCATCAACCGTATCAATGTGAGTTGCAGTACCACGGCCCATAGTATGACGTTTAGATTTAGCTCCACCACCGACCAAGGATCAGTGTGGCAGTGTGGGAAACAGGTTTCCGACTACGTTATACACCCGAGAAGCAACAATTATACAATAGGTGGGCATGACATAATCACTGTGTTTTACCTTATACCTTTAGCAATATAGTAATTGTCACAAACATAATAATTGATGACTATATATTACTTAAAAAACGAAAGTATGCAATAAGACTCATTTCAGTGACAGTCATATGACACTGGAAAGTAAATAACATTCTTCATCAGGATTAACATATTCTCCAACATATCGTTATCTAAGTAGATTTGATATATTTGGAACCTGGGTCTATTTAAGCTTCACTCTTTACTCAAGAAATTACTTATATATGGTCTACCGAAATTAATAGCTATCTTTTCCTGGTCTGTTTTCAAAGAAGTACACTCATCATGTACATACAGATGAACACTTGTCCCATCAGTAGGGAGGAACTTGCACAATCTTCTAGTCAATGATAAATCTACTTTCAGACCTTACAAGCTCTGTCATGTCAACACAGTCATTACCAACAACGACCCGATCTATGGCGATTTCACCGGATCCTGAGACAGTGACGCCAACGAAAGGTAGCTCTCTTCCAAATGTGCATGTCGTACTGAGGATATGTAGAAGGCAACCCAAGACTGTCCTCTGTAACTATAACATTTAACTCGGAGAGTCAGACGTAATTAGTGACTCAACATTATTATACACACCGGGGGGCATGGGGGGCCTAGTCGTCTAAGGCGCCGCGATTCGCAGTGAAGAGTTGCGTCCCTTGGGAAATCTATGATTGTGGGTTCGAATCCCCGTTCGCCCCGATTATGTTTCTATGTATGTCAGCACCATACCCGTGCTCGTGGGTTTCACCGAAGTTGTAAACGTCTGCGACCTGCATCACTTCGGGCTTTCCTCCCACATTAAGCTGACAGCCCAACTAACTCACTCACTATTAAACACACCACGAATACGCAACAAACATTATAAGATGTATGTCACAACGAATCAGTATCAGAAACTGCAAATAACGCAACGTTATCGTCTATGGTAAACAAAGACGTAAGGAACATATTATGTAAAATAAAATGTATGAACAAAAATGATATAAGCATGACATGGAACTTTGTCACATCGTGCTGTTCTTCGTCTATTATGTAAACGGGTCGGTCGGGTAGCCTAGTGGTTAAAGCGTTTGCTCGTCACGCCGAAGACCGTGGTTCCATTCCCGACATGGGTACAATGTGTGAAGCCCATTTGTGGTGTCCCCCGCCTTGATATTGCTGGAATATTGCTAAAAGCGGCATAAACCATACTCACACACACACACACTATTGTATAAACGAGTAGTGTGTCTACCAACCATGTTATCATAGTTGCATTGAACATTTTCACATTTTCACCATCTTGGATGGAAAATATGGCTTGGAGGGCATAGCTCAATGTAGAGTGAGCGGCATCATCTGATCGGGTGCGTGTTGTGATGGACGACTCCTGCGTTTCACTGAAAAAATTGCAACCATAAAAGCTTATCCAATGCTTAGGTCCAATGAAAATGTGCTTGGCATTGTGCTGTCAAGAACGTGGAAGTGACTCGAATGGAGCGTTTCGAGATCAGTACTTCCGAAATAAATTGAAGTATGCCGCCGATGTCATGATAAACCAATGTGATAGTTTATTCAACGATACCGGTATAACGTGCAACACTTCTGTGTATTGTGTACAGTCACAAGATCGCCTGTGTATTTCACGAGTGGTCCTGATGGCTGCACCACACACGATTAATGGTCCTTTCTCAATGGGTCACATTTTGCACAAAGCAAGCATTCTCTCACTGGAATGATACCATCAGCCGTATCAACGTAAGTTGCAATGACACGGTCCATTGTAAAGTGTTCAGATTCACCTCCACCACAGACTAAGGAACAGCGTGGCAGTGCGGGACATTTGTTAACGAAACCAAAATATACCCGAAAAGCCACGTTTATACAATAGGTTTGTATGGCATAATCACTGTATGTTACCATGCATCATGAGCAATAAAGAAATCATCACCATCAATGGCCATTTATTATTTTGGAAACGCAAGTATGCAATAAGACTGGTTTAAGTGACGGCCACATGACATCAGAAAATAAGCGCAAAATTATTTATTAGGATTAACATATTATCCAACAGACAAATCGTTGTCTAAATATGTTTGATCTTTTTAAAACCCGAATCTCTTCCTGCTTCACTTTCTTGTCACGGAAATACATATATATGATTTACTGAAATTAATACATATGTTTTCCAAGTCACCTTTAAAAGATGTATGCTCATCAGTATACATAGCCATAAGGACTTGTCATACTTGTAAGGACGAACATACCAAGCTTCAAGTCATTGACATATCTACTTTCAGTCGTTACAAGACCTGTCACGTCAACACAATCAACATCAACAACGACACGATATATGGAGACTACATCGGACCCTGAGACAGTGACGCCAAAGACAGGTAGGTCTCTTCCAAGTGTGCATGTCGTACTGAGGATATTTAGAAGGTAACCACAGACGGCCAAGTATGTAACTATAACAATTTACACGGAGAGTCAGACGTAATTAATGACTCAACATTATTATACACACAACGAATACGCAACAAGCATTATACAATATATATCACAACGAATCAGCATCAGAAAGTGCAAATAACGCAAACAAAGACGTAAGGAACATATTATGTAAAATAAATGTATGAACAAAAATTATATAAGCATGACATAGAGGAACACTGTCACATCGTGCTGCTCTTCGTCTTTTATGTCCAGGGGCGGTCGGGTTGCCTAGTGGTTAAAGCGTTCGCTCGTCACGCCGAAGACCGTGGTTCCATTCCTGACATGGGTACAATGTGTGAAGCCCATTTGTGGTGTCCCCCGCCTTGATATTGCTGGAATATTGCTAAAAGCGGCATAAACCATACTCACACACTCACTCACTTTTGTATAAACGAGTAGTGTGTCTACCAACCATGTTATCATAGTTGCATTGAACATTTTTACATTTTCACCATCTTGGATGGAAAATATGGCATGGAGGGCATAGCTCAATGTAGAGTGAGTGGCCTCATCTGATCGGGTGCGTGTTGTGATGGACGACTCCCGCGTTTCACTGAAAAAATTGCAACCATAAAAGCTTATCCAATGCTTAGGTCCAATGAAAATGTGCTGGCATTGTGCTGTCCAAAACGTGTAAGTGAATCGAATGGAGTGTTTCGAGATCAGTATTTCCGAAATAAATTGAAGTATGCCGCCGATGTCATGATAAAACAATGTGTTAGTTTATTCAATGATACCTGTATAACGTGCAACACTTCTGTGTATTGTACTCATTCGCGCAGTCACTAGATCGTCTGTGTATTTCACGAGTGGTCCTGATTGCAGCACCACACACGATTAATGGTCCTTTCTCAATGGGCCACTTTTTGCACAAAGCAAGCATTCTCTCACTGGAATGATACGACCAGCCGTATCATCGTGAGTTGCAATGACACGGTCCATTGTAAAGCGTTCAGATTCACCTCCACCACAGACTAAGGAACAGCGTGGCAGTGCGGGACATTTGTAAACGAAACCCATATATACCCGAGAAGCAACGTTTTCATAATAGGTTTGTATAGCATAATCACTGTGGTTTACCATGCATCATGAGCAATAAAGTAATCATCACCATCAATGGCCATTAATTATTTAGGAAACGCAGGTATGCAATAAGACTCATTTAAGTGACGGTCACATGACATCAGAAAATAAGCGCAAAATTATTTATTAGGATTAACATATTATCCAACAGACAAATCGTTGTCTAAATAAGTTTGATCTTTTTAAAACCCGATTCTCTTCCTGCTTCACTTTCACGTCACGGAAATACACACACACACACACACACACACACACACACACACACACACACACACACACACACACACACACACACATATATATATATGATTGACTGAAATGAATACATATGTTTTCCCAGTCACCTATAAAAGATGTATACTCATCAGTATACATAGCCATAAGCACTTGTTATACTTGTAAGGACGAACATACCAAGCTTCAAGTCATTGACATATCTACTTTCAGTCGTTACAAGACCTGTCACGTCAACACAATCAACATCAACAACGACACGATATATGGAGACTACATCGGACCCTGAGACAGTGACGCCAAAGAAAGGTAGTTAACTTTCAAATGTGCATGACGTACTTAGGATATGTAGAGGTTAACCCACGACTGTCCACTGTAACAATAACAGTTTACATGGAGAGCACGGCGTAATTAATAACTCAATATTATCATACACACCACGAATATGCAACAGCCATCAGAAACTGCAAATAACGCCACGCTATCGTGCCAGTGGTAAAATACGTAACGACATGTCATGTATTTGCATTTAGAAATATGTTGCCTGAAAAAAATGTTGGCATAACATGGAGGAACACTGTCACATCGTTTTGCTCTTTATCTATTATGTAAAGGAGTAGTGTGTCCATGTTATATTGAACATTGTCACACTTTCACCAGAGGCGGTCCGGTAGCCCAGTGGTTAATCAAAGCATTCGCTCGTCACGCCGAAGACCCGGGTTCGATTCCCGACATGGATACAATGTGTGAAGTCCATTTCTGGTGTCCCCCGCCCTGGTATTGCTGGCATGTTACTTATATTGCGTTCTCACTCATCATACTCACTCGCTCCCTCGCTCCCTCACTCCCTCGCTCACTGACTCTTTCCCCATCTTGGATGGAACATGTGGCTTGGAGGGCATAGCTCAATGTAGAGTGAGTGTCATCATCTGATCGGTAGCCTGTTGTGATGGACAACTCCACTTTCCTGCGTTTCACTTATGGAAATTACAATCATAAGAGTTTATCCAATGCTGAGGTCCAATAAAAATGTGCTCGTTGTGCTTTCAAGAACGCGGAAGTAAATCGAATGGTGCATTTCGAGATACGTATTTCCGAAACAGACTGCACGCGTGCCGCCGATGTATGACATGCAACACTTCTGTGCATTGTGATCATTCGCGCAGTCATGTTTTCTTTCACGAGTAGTCGTATTGCCGTTAGCCCAGTCGCCATAAGGAACTATTTTATGTGCTTTTCATCAATAGTATTACGATGTGAATGAACAGGAGAATAGTAAGATAAATCGTGTCATAATACAAATGCAGAAGGGTCGTTAACTCATTATACAATGAAAGATGACCCAAATAATTAATCTTCTCCAAACATGCATGACAAAGCAGACATGTGTTGAATGTTTAAAATCTGTTTAAATAAAACTTAAGATAAATTGCATATAAAATAGAACAGCGAAAAACAAACAAATAATCTTAGACAAATTTTAACAAGTTCTACATTTGATTCTGTTGTCGTTACTCCACAGGTTTCTAAGTGTGGTAACAAAGGTTGCCTAACTTGCAGCAATATCATTGGCGGCTGTTCAGTCCAAATTACAAAGGACACTTAATTTACTGTTAAGCCAAATATGACATGTGAAACTAGAAATGTTATTTACTTGACTGTGTGCAATGAAATGTATATCGGGAAGACAGAACACAAATTAAGAAGAAGAATGAATCTTCACCGTTCACAAATAGAGCAGACACACAACGGTAGAATTACACTAAGGGAACATTTAGATACAAGTGTCAGCGGCAACTTTTTAGTTTTCTCTCTATAGAAGCTTAATTTTGATGATGAACAAAAGAGCAACATTTCATGTATGGATACGCACTTAAGTTAATTGTAAAGGTGTGAGTTATTTGTTCATTTTACTATATTATTGTGATGTCATAGTTATCCCAGCTGTTATTGCGTCACGTATCTATACAACGTGTCCGTTAATCAGTTATGGCCAGTTATTATATTATTCAGACTGTTTGTTGTTGTTAGTTAAGCATGTTAAGGGGTTATAATCTAAGTTTGGAGGTATCACTGACAATTATCTCATTTTAAAAATGTTATCATCCATTAGATTATTCTAAGTCTAGCAATGTTATCTACCAGCAAACATATGTAAGTGATGGGTTTCATTACTGGGTCTATGGATCTACTAACACCCTTTTGTATCCCAAACAATTAAATAAAATATCTTTTTGAGTTGCGTTTTCCGCAGTTTGTTTAGTCATTAATAAAATGCCAAAGTGGGAATTGGAAATAACAACTTCCCTTTATCATTCCCAAACATTTTTATATTTTTTTCTGTTTCCTAGATTTAACAATACAGGTGTTTTATTATTCTCGTTGGACAACTTGTAAACCGAATATTTAAGATTAGTTCAAATGTCTGGAACAGACAAACAAAATGTTTTTGAGTTCAATTACATGACTATGATCAACATTAGGGCTGGATATCAGTACTTGCTATGCGATTATTTAAAATAATCTTGATATTTAAAAGTTTCATGTAGATGAGCTTTGTTGCAAATAATTTCAGTTAATATGCCTTCACAGAAATGAACTTCTCATATCCTTGGGCCAGGTGTCTTTGTCAGTCAAAAGTACCTGATTAAATTCCACACCTCCACACAGGTGTATTACTGTAAATATAATTGGAATTATAAATCAAAATTAGATGCGTATGTCTATATCCTTATCTCTTACGTCCTTTATACTTAAATGGTATTTTAGAACCTGTAGTATTGATGTAGATGACACCTTTATCAGGCACGTTTCACTTAAAGAATACAAAAGTTGAAGTCCATAAGTCAACTCTGTGCCCAGTTAACAAGCCATCAATACTTGTTTCATGTCATTCTCATTTCATACTGCAGGTCCCAAAAACCCACAGCCACTCAATACCGAATGTAACGTGACAGGTGTTATAGCAGGAAGCACAATAGGAACCCTCCTTCTTACCCTGGTGATTGAAGGACTAGTTCTGACTGTCCTCTATAGGAAGGGGTTCAGGTTTGGAAACGTCTTGAAAGGTATGTTGTTAAATCTCAGTAGTATTGTAAGAAGAATCAAGCAGTGGTGTGGCGATATTTACAGACGGGAAGTTTCATTACAAACGGACATTATTGATAACGATGACTGATATAAGTGAACGTGAAAGATACCAATGTATCCAAATCAATACTTAATCAAAACAAACACATCCAACAGTTGCGAGTGTATAATTAGTTATGACATAAACTGTTTTGCACCTAGTCGTCATTTTGTGATCATTTTGTGTATTACAGCGTACTATTTAGATATTATCTGCTTTTCAGGAACTTCTTCACAAACAAGGTAGACTAATTTATACCAATAACACATTTTGAAATAATTAACTTTAAAAATATGTTAAATGTCCTTTATAATGAGAAACAAACATAATATATTTTTAAGGCGATCGTTTCAATAATAAATGGCCATAAACCGACCTTACTTAATTTTGTAGCACCAGAAATCCTGAAATTGAAGAAATGGACAACGAAGGATATTCATCCTTGGGTAGGTTGAAGTCAGCATTGCTCTTCAGATACATTGCGGTGGTCACAAATATGTCTGGGGCCATTTCGTGTTGATACAGATATTACATATTCCTATTGATTTGTTAGTGGCATTAAGGATTAAGGATTGACTGTGTATTTTGCTCGATTCACAGAGGTATGAATCCAAAAATCGATATGCAAACTGTCTGAATCCGCGTACACAGTCAATCCTTATAATTAAATTCGACAACGAAATCATGTGTTATCTACAACAGTTTTATATATGAAAAAAGACAAAAATGACGAAATTGGTAAAAATCCAGTTGTGTGAATGCATAAGATGGCGTGACATGAATCAGGTGATTGTTTAATTTATGCATATAACTTAACCCGCCCACAAAGTCAGTAGCTAATCAACGGAGAGTAGGATCAAAACAAAGTTCACAAGACCTGTCACTCAAGGCAAAAAGCGTGAAGAGCCGCAACAGTCAGACTGTAACGAACCTGAACAAATATGTCTGGGAGAAGGCGGTTGTCACCGCCAGCTTCAATCATTAGTTCCTTGAGAACGGGAAGACACAGTTGGAAAATTGCAGGTTAGAAATGAAACCGAAAGACATTAAAATTTAAAGATCCCAGGCGAGCAGACAAAAAAACAGGCGAGTGTGCACGTTTGATGTTTCGTTCCTTCTCGGCCCTCGGTATCAAAGGGTAGCATTCGTGACCAACTCGTGTTATTCCGGAAAGCCGAATAGCGACTCGTGCCTCTCTCGTGGCCAGTTTTCTGCGACTGGGTTCCGTCTAAGCGCAAATGGGCATAACTAAAGAAATAGTTAACTCGTTGCGTAATGATTCACGCAAGTTTCCCATATGTCATATATATTGCAGATGCTATCTAAGACACATCGGGACGTAGGGTATTATACAGTATGATTGAACACATTTAACTGTGTTTTCGGTATATTTTTAGATGCAAGACATATGTAAAATCCAAACTTATATCTGAGGGATTCTTTGACGAAGAACTTGAAATCCTACGCGCATTCTGATTGGTTTGTCGTATTTTCGCACATAACATTCATCGATAGGGGTACGAGTCTTCTTGCAGGTTACGGAAAGGGGCGAGTGGTGACGAATGAAAGGGTAGATTGAACTATAAGTATGCATGAATTTCCCTAAATGTCCCGTACTTGGTGATACGCGGGAACAGAAAGGGAACTCCCACGACTGTAATATTGGGATTCCCTGACGTTTCGTTGACATAAAAGTAGTCCGCTTCAGTTGGCATGGCTTATTTTTTTCACATTCATTTGGATATGAATGAAATAACACGTGACGAATTCAGCTAATCAGAATGCAGGAATTACAATGAACACAACGAAACTTTACTTATTCGGAATTGTGCAATGGACATGGCTATGGAGATGGTTTTGTGGCTTATATTTACAGATCAAATCAGTGGTCCTGCTCATGACTCAAGAATAGGTAAAGAGGGATCGGAAAAGCAACATCACGCACCGTTGAAGATTTACGAGAGCACAAACGGTAGATAAACACAGTGACATTTTATATACTATAGCAGTTCTCAATCATTCTCAACCTAGGGAAGGTACTGTCATGATACCGGCATGTGTTGTGTTACCTTTAGAAGGGTATACAGCATTTGAATTTGTTTTTAAATGCGTTTCGAATCCGATTTGCAGCCGAGGCCGAAGCAGAGACAAGTACCTACGATATCTTGACAGAGACGCCCCCTGTATCTTACGAGTCCATCAGAGCATCTCCATACCAGAACAGCGGTGCTCGATAGTACGGTAACCACTATCTACAACAGCTATACCCTTGAGGGGGGCACGGGTGGCCCAGTCGTCTGGCCCGCAATTCGCTGTGCAGGGTTGCGTCCCTTGGGCATGCCAGAAACCTATGCTTGTGGGTTCGAATCCCGGTTCGCCCCGATTATGTTTCTAGGTTTGTCAGCACCATACCCGTGCTCGTGGGTTTCACCGAAGTGGTAAACGTCTGAGACCTGCATCACTTCGGGCTTTCCTCCCACATTAAGCTGACACGCCGCGATATAACTGGAATACTGTTAAAAGCGGCGTTAAACCCAACTCACTCACTCACTATACCCTTGAGAAACAAAATCATAATAAACTGTGTACACGAAGCGATTTTCATTCTCTGTTCTAATGTAGAATTTATATCAAATCTGACATATTCAGTACTGTATTAATGTGATACTGACATTATTTTACTGACCTTCAATATATGTCATTCATTTCCAGATCCTGTGAATACACAAAGAAGCATGTAAAATGATGACATCAAAGGACAGTTATACATGGCCCGTGATCTGACAATTTTGTTTACCTTTCGTATAGTTTACTTTTAACATATGACTGCTACCTTGGAGAATATACCTATGTTATTTTATAGTATGAACCTTTGTACCATGTAAACATATAGCATACAAAACTGTATCACCACCAGGGGCGGTCAGGTAGCCTAGTGGTTAAAGCGTTCGCTCGTCACGCCGAAGACCCAGGTTCGATTCCCGACATGGGTACAAGTGTGAAGCCGATTTCTGGTGTCCCCCGCCGTCATATTGCTGGAATATCGCCAAAAGCGGCGTAAAACCATACTCACTCACTCACTCAGTATCACCACACTTTTGATCAGAATATTTCTTTCTGGTACTATTGTTGATTTATTAAATTATTGACTCATTTATAAGTTTGTATACAAAGAGTGGATATTTTATAATGTATCTTTATTTATTAAAAACAAAATTATGGTATAGTTTCGTGAATGATTCATCGGTTGCATACATGTTTCGCACGACATGTAGTGTTCTAGATCTAGGTCCAGTAAGGATAGTTTCATTCAGAATCGCCAGACATTTGAAAATCAATGTGTACAGATGAATACAAACAACTGTAGGTATACTAGATGAGTATATTTGAGGAGATTTAAGTATCTCGGATAACAAAATAATGACTCTGTATATCACTCTCCTTAAAAATCTAAAATATTTGTAAAAGTAAGCCAGCTCATGGTAACTTACTGATGCTGGCGTTCTTTCCTGATTGATTCAGCAGACATAGTTCAGACAGTCAACATCGTTCAGACAGTCGACATAGTTCAGACACGTGACAAAGTTCAGACAGCTGACATTGTTCAGACAGTCGACATAGTTCAGACAGTCGATATAGTTCAGACAGCCGACATAGTTAAGACAGCCAACATGGTTCAGACAGCCGACATAGTTCAGAGAGTCGACATTGTTCAGACAGTTGACATAGTTCAGACAGCCAACATAGTTCAGACAGCTGACATAGTTCAGACAGTCGACATGGTTCAGACAGTCGACATAGTTCAGACAGCCGACATGGTTCAGACAGCGGACATTGTTCAGACAGTCGACATAATGAAGACAGTCGACACGGTTCAGACAGTCGACATAGCTCAGACAGTCGACATAGTTCATGCTGTCGACATAGTTCAGACAGCTGACTTATTTCAGACAGTAGACATAGTTCAGACAGTCGACATAATTCAGACAGTCGACATAGTTCAGACAGTCGACATAATTCAGACAGTCGACATAGTTCAGACAGCCGACATGGTTCAGACAGCCGACATACTTGTACAGGCATTATTTCATCGGACTATATCAATTTACAATGTACGACTACCGATCAATAGAGCTGCATCTTCATCGTGTGCTTCTGTTATACAAGCGTAAGTGGCTGTCTTTGACCTCATCAAAAGTCGAGATGAATCAATTGTTTCTCATACGTCATATTGTAATTGTGTCAATAATACATTACAGCACAGCTTTTCCTCCAACAATGCTGACAATGCATTCCTCGATATCTGTTTTGTAGCCCTGTTCTTTAACTCGTGATACCTGTCTGATATCACTGTACTTTATCTCGTAATACCTGTATGGTATCACTGTACTTTAACTCGTGATACCTGTATGATATCACTGTACTTTAACTCGTGATACCTGTATGATATCACTGTACGTTTACTCGTGATACCTGTACGATATCACTGTACTATAATTCGTGATAACTCTATACATTATAATGTGTTACGTCATTATGACCCTGTTTGTTTCCCCATATTTTGAACTTTACCTTACACACACCAATCTCGAACTATTGCCAGTATCCATGTCATCAAACAGGCTCGACTGTACCTCAAACACTCACCATCTCGGACTATTGCTTGTACATGTGCCATCTAACAGTCTCGACTGTATTTAACACACACCAATCTCGAACTATTGTTTGTATACATGTCATCAAGCAGTCTCTACTGTTCCTCAAACACGCCAATCTCGAACTACTGTTTGTATACAGGATATCTAACAGTCTCGACTGTACTATCATACATCAATCTCGAACTATTGTTTGTATACAGGATATATCACAGTCTCGACTGTTTTTAACACACACCAATCTCGAACTATTGTTTGTATACAGGACATCAAACAGTCTCGACTGTTCCTCAAACACACCAATCTCGAACTCTTGTTTGTATACGGGATATCTAACAAACTCGACTGTTCCTCAAACATACCAATTGCGAAATATTGTTTGTATACAGGATATCTAACAGTCTCGACTGTTCCTCAAACACACACACCAATCTCGAACTATTGTTTGTATACAGGATATCTAACAGTCTCTACTGTTCCTCAAACAAACACACCAATCTCGAACTATTGTTTGTATACAGGATATCCCACAGGCCCGACTGTATTTAACACACACCAATCTCGAACTATTGTTTGTATACAGGATATCTAACAGTCTCGACTGTTCCTCAAACATATCAATCTCGAAATATTGTTTGTGTACAGGATATCAAACAGTCTCGACTGTTCCTCAAACACACCAATCTCGAAATATTGTTTGTATACAGGATATCTAACAGTCTCGACTGTTCCTCAAACACACCAATCTCGAAATATTGTTTGTGTAGAGGATATCTAACAGTCTCGACTGTATCTTACACACACACCAATCTCGAACTATTGCTTGTATCGATGGACACCTTGCATCTCTCAGTAAACCGTTTACATAACGATACTATGACGTCAATGTCATCCGGAGTTACGTATATACACTTTGTGTATATACCCTCACCGGCTCTGTACGTCGGGACCGCCTCCGTGCTCTAGAGGTAGAGCTCCGCCCGGAGAACGGAAGGTCCGGGGATCGAACCGTCATACCAAAAGACGTTAAAAGATGTAATTTGTTGTTACCCTCAGTATCTCAGTGTGCTAGCACTATAAATCGGCATCAGTCCGGACAAGTACAAGCATGCACGTCGCTATACAAGTGCATAATCTTGGCGCGACGTTAAACCCCATTTCACCTAACCTAACCTGTTAGAGCTTGGTCAATGTTCCGCAACATTTCAGGAAACACCGCGTAGTCGTAACATGTTACCACACCTGGACAACAATGAACATCTTTCTCCTTAAAATAAATATGCTTCGACATGAAATAATATTTCTGTATATAGATACAATTAAATGTAGGAATGCAGTAGTTACTGAATGATTATCATGTGGATTTCTCTTCATTTAGCGGGACTGTTTCAAGCAGAAGTCTTCAATAAGGAAAGGCAAGAAGTCCGGCTCCAAGGAGGAAACCAAGGCATTTATCAAGGAAGAAAAGGAGGCCGTCCCTTAACTTTTACCCTCATCCTAAGAACTAAGCATTTTTGTTTGGAGTTTACCTTACCTCTATTCTTTGTATGGTATACTTGATAGGTGATGTTGATAACGTTTTGAAAATGTGAAGATTTTGACATTGAGGATTTGAAATATCAATTAAATATTTACAGTGGACCTTCTTTAAACGGGACTCTCCTTAATCAACATCTGTAATGAGACATTTGTAATTTGTTCCTGGAGAATTCAAGAAGTGAATTATCTGAACATTTCTGCTTTTTGTATGTTTAATTTTCTAATCCTCATTTTCCAAGTATGTTTTCCAAAAGGTAATTCCTCTCTATAGTGCCGTCATATAGCTGAGATATTGCTGAGTGCGGCGTAAAACACCAAACAGCCAACAACCTCTCTATAAATTGTTTGATAGGCATTACTATACATACTATACATGTATTACTATACATCTCTATAGTCAGGTTTAATCTTTCTACTGGTTGTATTTGATATTTTCTCTGTACCTTGGTATTGACTAGATATCTTCAGTTACCGCTATGGAAGGTACACTGTACACTTTTTTGGATAATCGGGATCTAAACTGTTTTAAAACCCTGCCATTTTTGTACACCCAGCTGTATATATTTTGGATTTGTGAAATACATCTATCTAAATGAAAGTCATTTTGGGTAATATATGTCTTATAGTGCGTCCATCATGTTTTATACTGAATCGATGTACATGTATTTGAATAGTTACATTATCTGCATCAAATGTATAAGTGTTGTTTATATTGTCTGTTTAGGAATTCGATGTAGGGTACTGCGTGTTCTCTTTACTTTGTGACCATACGGAGACCACATTGTATTTTTAGTTTTAATAAGCACCTTGTTAATGCTTTACTCGGGTATGTCACTTCCTTATTCTTTCATTGTCACTTTTTGGTACAGATGCTGGAACTGGATGAGAGTCCATACGTCAACTACATCTCTATAGATACTACATCATCTAAATGCCGTTTGAAGATAACTTTGCGTGTGTAATGCCACGTTCGTTTGATTTCATTTCATTTTAAAGAACGTTGCTCCACCAAACATGCAACCGTAGCCAATCACTTCACTCGTTGTCTTACCAAGTATTATGTTGTAGCTCTATTTTTAACAATAAATAATTAGCCTTGTTCAATGATCTGTTGAATGTGCACATATCAGTGATTGCACAAGACCGCCTTCAAGGCGTGATTATCGGTTGCAGTGTTGTCAGAGCACTTTGTTGGTGTTTTAGTAGACTGCTCATGTGCTTTGATTATACGTGATTTGTAAAGATTATTTTGTGCGATGTTTTGTAAAGTGTAATTAGTCGGACCTCATATACAATATCATTACGATGGCATATGCAAGGGTATATACAGACTGTCTAAAGGTGTGTCATTATGATATGCAATAATGATTTGTAGTCTTGCTCTTACAGACACGGATGATTCATTGACCGAGCGATACATATTTACTGATTGTAAACAAGTAAAGCATAATTCGAATTTCATACGGATGTCTAGTGGTAAGATGTTTGGTGGTATTACGTTCATTCGCTGCACTTAGAGCAGTGCCCACCCCAATAGATTCAAACAATATTATGAGAGCCTTGTTTTACACAAAATATCAATAAACAATATTCTTAGAGCATATTTGTATTCCTTTTATTGTAAGAATCTTGTTACAACGTATCAGTTAGAACGTATCAACCAGTTCAGGTGCATAAGAACCCGTTTATTAGGTACGTTTTTCTCCATGTATGCCCTAGGCATTGTGAATTGCACCAGACGTAGGTTTGCTCACTGTTATTTATTTTCTGTATATATAATAGGATCTTATTTGCACAACGTGTAAAATATGTACATACTGTGATTGAGAGCATGCCACACATTGCGAGATGTACAAGTGAGGATGTGTTTTAATTCAAAACATAAGCGATGAGGGAGGACGACTTTAGACGTTTTCCCACCAGGAATACTAAGAAACACAACTTGGCATACAAAAAATTCTAACCAGAAATCTACCATCAATATGGAAATTGACGAATCTGAATGGTCAGTTAGAACGTATCAACCAGTTTAGCTGCAGAATAACCCGTTTATTAGGTACGGTTTTCTTACAAGTGAGGATGTGTTTTAATTGAAAACATAAGCGATGAGGGAGGACGACTTTAGACGTTTTCCCACCAGGAATACCAGGAAACACAACTTGACGTACATAAAATTCTAACCAGAAATCTAACATCAATGTGGAAATTGACGAATCTGAATGATCAGTCAAATGCTGAGGCAGGACGGGAAGCCAGTACCCTGTATTACCTCAGATCAGGGTGGTTACATTGTGTGACCCCGGCACCGCTTGTCTTTCCGTTTTGACATCAGACTGATCGTCTTCGCTCGGTAGATCTTCCTCGTTGTCAAGACTATTTTGTCTAATCACTGGCTCATATCGATATTGATGAATGTGTGTGAGGTCACTGAGCGCAAATTCAACGTTTTCATCGATGGCATTGTCAGGTGATGCCATGGCGAACGCTAGTAATCTACTAAACCCTATACAGAAACAGTGATCTTCAGCGAGTCTACGCTCCACCATGTCGTCACGCCACCAGATGATAACTCTGCTCATGAACTCTCGGAGTATTCCGGAATACAAGTAGGATTTAGCGTTTTCCCCCTTAAATAATGCCATTAGATTTTGTTCCTTCAAAGTACTTCTTTTAATATGCTTCATAAATGATTTAATACTGGTTTTATAGTTTACTGTAAATCTCCTTCAAAACTATATACTCTTAAAAAAAGAAACGCAATACGGATATTTTTGGCCACAAAAGCAAACAGCGAGCCATAAGGTGCTAAATGTAGAGGTTTACTGTGTCATAGTGTTAATGACAAATTTCCCTGACCAAAATGATGACAACAAGTCGTGAAACACGTACGATTAGGAAAAACGCACCCAGTGAATCAACAAAAGGGCCATGGAGCTGCACGTACTGCACGTGCAGCAGCAGTATGAACGGTATTAAAGTGCTGGGTATTTGATCGCCTGGCATCTACGTCAATCGAACAGTTAAACAACATGCAAACATTAACAGAAGTGCAAAGAAACAACGTAATATGCCGCTTTCAGGCAGGGAATCCCGATCAGCTGTACCAAGGGTGTTTAATGTAGCGCCCAGCACCATCACAAGTCTATAGGATCGGTTTCAACAGCATGGGTCAACACGAAATCGGCCAAGGTCGGGACGACCAAGAGTAACCATCCCTCGGCCAAGATTGCTACAACCGACTGCGCTACCTTCGTGAAAGGACGACCACAGCCACATCAACCGCATCCCCTATACAAGGACTGTGCAGAATCACCGATCAGACCGTACGAAACCGTTTAAAAGCAGCGGGTCTACGAGCAAGACGTCCTGTTCGACGCGTCATATTGAGTCGACAATATCGTTAACATTGACTGCATTGGTGTCGTCAACACAGGGTGTGGCCTCAACTGAGATGGAGAGATGTCTGGTTCTCCTCCTCCCAGGGGATGGAAGAGCACGGGTCCACAGATGTCGAGGAGACTGACAAGAAGAGCTGGACAGATGTAGTGTTTGTAGCGTACTGATGTGGGCGGCTATCTCTCATCATGACAGGACAGGTTTGGTCCATATCCAGGGCAATCCTACGGCTCAACGATACATCAATGAAATTCTCCTACTCCACCTCCTCCCAATTGCAGCCAACGGCACAGGTGTATTCCAGCAGGACAATGCTCGACCGCATACAGCACGGATCACAAGAGCCTGTCTATACAACAACAACGTTGATGTTCTCCCCTGGATTTGAACCCGATAGAGCACCTGTGGGATGAATTGGATAGACTGCTACGCCGTGGGCTACCATTCCCCAGGATGTGATTAGCATACTCGTCTCTTCCATGGGCAGATGTCAGGCCGCTATCGATTCCAACGGGATACATACGCGTGATTGATGGTAGCTGACCTTCAACTTGGACGTTTCTATGTACCGATAACTGAGATGACTACAATCACTAAGTGTTCTCTCCACAACAATTGGGTTCAATACCTTGTACGGTTGCTCGTATTAATGTATTTGCCTCCTGACATAAGTCTGGCTTTGCGTTTCTTTTTTTGAAGAGTATATTTGGGATAACCTTTTCTTAGTAAAGTACAGGTTCTAGTACTTTTTAAGGTTATGTCCCATCCGGGATTCGAACCCACAATCCCAGAGTGAAGCACCTAGTCGCCAAAACACAAAGTCAGCGATTTAACCCACTCAGCCACCGAGGATTCCACAAAGCACCTCAAGCATTACGTCCCTTCAAGTAGCATCACACGTCAAGTATCACAGCCATACAAGATGACGTTAAGAGTGAATCCCTCGTCTGTGTGCCATGCCCCGACCCTATGTACGAGACCGTTCTCGAGGCCACGTGCCTTACAAACAGACTATTCACCGTGAACGAAGTACTCGTGAAACAAAAAGATATAAACTAAACTCATAGATGAATAGGCAAGGCAGTTCTTCAACAACGTGCACACATGTATGTATACAAGAAAAGTGTAGGTGCGTAACGTAAAGAATACCTTGCATATAATGTAGAACAAGCTCAAGCAAGGAATTTATCGATACAACCCATTATTAACATACTTAAGGTGTTGATGTAAATACGGAATAGCAGAATGACACAATAACAGTGAAGATACTATCTATGCGCTGAGTACATAACATCACATCATAATCCAGGAAGCAGTAATGATGGCATACCCGACAACAACCACGCCCCTGTCCCCGTGTCTACCCCCCAGGTGGACATGTGACCTCCCCGTGTAGATATGCATGTAACTAGGTTTGTGCTAAATGGAACAAATGCCTGATCTGTGAGTGTGAGGTATGAGTGAGTGAGTGAGTTGGGTTTAACGCCGCTTTTAACATTATTCCAGTCATATCACGGCGTGTCAGCTTAATGTGGGAGGAAAGCCCAAAGTGATGCAGGTCTAAGACGTTTACCACTTCGGTGAAACCCACGAGCACGGGTATGGTGCTGACAAACCTAGAAACATAATCGGGCCGAACCGGGATTCGAACCCACAATCATAGGTTTCTGGCGTGCCCAAGGGACGCAACTCCGCACAACGAATCGCGGCGCCTTAGACGACTGGGCCACCCGTGCCCCCTGTGAGGTATGACATGTAGTGACCTACACATTAGCTCAATTCCATTATGAGGTCTACGATGTTTAGGATTGCATATCTATTGAGGTTGCTTCTTCATGTTTACAGTTCAAAAACACTGCAGGTAAGGGAGGAGTTATTTGAGTGTATGCGTATGTGTTCCTGTATAAATCATCGTTCACCGGTGTCGGTTACGTGTATGTTAAACAAATCCGGAAAGGGTATATTGATTTGTAACTTGACCTCCTCGAAGGGGGTTGCTATCATTATTTTTTAAATATTACTTACTGGTAACATATCTGTTGGATGGTGATTAAGAATCACAAGCTTACTATACTGTCGGAATTTTACACTGGAGACTTTTGGACAAATACGGATAGGGTCATGTCGGTTTTATTATACATAGATCACCATCATGGAAGGAAGGTGATTGTTGTTTTACGCCACAATCGGCATAATTCTAGCTATACAAATTGTCGTGTCTGAGCAGGCAAACCAGTAGATTACCATATGATCAACGATCCAACGATATTCAATATGCCAGGCCATACATCATACAACCCGACGACATTCACACGGCATCGCAAAGAAAGGAAATATGTGTACATAGGTACTGACAGTCTGTGGGATTAGGTTGCAGTGTAAGCATAGCTGAGAAGACATAACCTTTCTTGACATGAATACATTCTCAGCTACACTACGACTCCTCAAAACATATGACTACAAATTACTTTCGACCATCTTGTGGTTCTGGAATTCTTGAAACATTTTTGTCGCTATTATTGTTTGAATGAAAATTGCTATGGGCTTAAGTTTCAAATGAAGTGAATGAGTTGGGTCCAGCGCTGCGTCGAAGAGCATT